CTTCTGAGCTTAGTGAGCCCAATGAGTTTGGTGGGCCTAAGGTTCTCTTTACTTGGTCTTTACATGGATGACCACCTTTCTCATATATTTGGTAGTATAGGAGTTTATAATGTTTGGTCTTGTATTATGGGCCTTAGTATAAGACTTTTTGGGTTTTAAGCTTATTGGGCCTAGTTTTGGGCTTTGTGGGCCTTTGGGCTTTTGTTTACTTCTGAGCTTAGTGAGCCCAATGAGTTTGGTGGGCCTAAGGTTCTCTTTACTTGGTCTTTACATGGATGACCACCTTTCTCATATATTTGGTAGTATAGGAGTTTATAATGTTTGGTCTTGTATTATGGGCCTTAGTATAAGACTTTTTGGGTTTTAAGCTTATTGGGCCTAGTTTTGGGCTTTGTGGGCCTTTGGGCTTTTGTTTACTTCTGAGCTTAGTGAGCCCAATGGGTTTGGTGGGCCTAAGGTTCTCTTTACTTGGACTTTACATGGGTGACCGCCTTTCTCATATATTTGGTAGTATAGGAGTTTATAATGTTTGGTCTTGTATTATGAGCCTTAGTGGATGACCACTTTTCTTATATATTTGGTAGTACAAGAGTTTATATTGTTTGGTCTTGTATTATGGACCTTAGTATAAGATTTTTTGGGTTTAGGGCTTAGGGTGTAGATGTAATTTAGTAGAATGGATAAAAAATATATTATTTTGCTTTAAAAAATTCGTGTGACAAATTTGTAGTTAGAACGGGCCGTTCCGTTTTCAGAACGGCCCGTTCTGATTTAATTATTGATGTGTCATTTTTGAATTCGGAACGGGCCGTTCTGATGTTGAAACGGGCCGTTCCGTTCCATTCTTCATGTGTTTTTTTGTCATCTGGAACGGCCCGTTCTGGTCCAATATTTATGTGTTATTTATTCATTTGGAACGGCCCGTTCTGATTTCAGAACGGCCCGTTCCGAGTGTCAGTAGCAGCTGCGTCTGTTGCCACGTGTTTTTTTTTTGGGTAATTTTTAAAAAAAAAATCAGTAAAAAAATCGAAAATTTAGATCCAGTGTGGTAAGGTGTATTATGGTCTACTAGTTTAGATGCATCTAAGGGTGAAAATTGATGATGCACCCATGGACCACTTGTGAAAGTGGTCCTTGAGAGAATTCACCATATTTTAGTGTAGGATTTGGTGAAAAAGAAGAATATAGTGCATGAGGTCCACAGTGAGCAGTGAGCATGCACATGACATGGTTCCACTTCCAGAGGAGAAGAAAAACGACGCAACCCACGAGGCATTCATTCATGGGTTCCTCTGGAGTCAGGTCCACACTCACCAAATGCCCACTCTCGTGAGCTCAATTCTGCTTCCTGCTTTCTCTAATTTATTTCCCTTTTTTTTAATTTTTCTTTTCAATTTCTGCATGCCAGAGGGCAGAGAAAGTCACCTTCAACAGTAAGAGTACTTTCTCACCATCCCCATGCATTTCGTGAGCCATTGACACCATTTAATATTGTGGATTATTGTAACTGTTTTCGTACGGATAACAAAAAAGTGTTACTTTATAAAATTAAATATAGTGACAATCTTGAACCATACGTATCAGAATCAGAATCTCAGTCTAGCTTTCAAAACTATAAGAAACCGTGTGCTTCAGATTTATAAATTGTGAATATTTCATACTGTGTTGCGCGAGAATATTGATTAATAAATAAAATAATTTTATATTTTATTACCATAATTTTTTCCTTTTAAGAGATAAATATATTTGTATTTTCATTTTTTTTCAATCTGAGTTTAAATAGTACTTGACTTTATTTTCTTGAACAACTTGTGTATGAAAAAAATATGGTTAGAAAATTATATTTCAATAAAGGGATCATATATTCTCCTTGTAGAAGAATACTTCTCGAAAAAAACTTAATAAATACTTTGTATCAATAATATTATTATCAAAGAAAAATATATGTTCCTATTTTCTTTTACAATATAGTATTATTTATTTTTCTATAATCTATAACTATTTATTTTGGTTTTACTTTCTAATACTCAATTTTATTCCTTATTATATCATAGTCATATTTTCTTATTACTATGCTTTATTTAATTCAAAAAAATGACCTTAACTAAAATTTTGATTCTGGTATCTTATCATCGTAAATCAACCACAACTCTTTATTTGTAACAGCAAGTAGGACCAGTCCAAGGATGAGACCAACAAAATCTTCGTTTTAGGTTCTTTTTTATATTAAAAAAAATATTAATATTATATAATTTTTTAAAGGTTTCATAACTTAAAAGTCATTTTTTACATTCTTAAAAATTTACGAAGGTTTATCTTTAAAAGATATACAAATATAATTAAATTTTAAGATCCATCTCTAAAATATATTTTTTTTATCAAAAAATATTATTATTAATTTTAAAAAAGTTAAACCTTGACATTTATTTTAGTCTAATAATATGTTGGATTAACCCTCTCAACGAATCACAGTAAATTTTTTATCTTAACATTTTATCTTTTTTATTTTTTATTATTTATCATTTATGTTCTATTTTCATTGTTTTACATTTTATCTTTTATTTAAATAAAACATATAAAAAATATAAAGTATTTTGATTCCACTAGTAATAATATTGTATATATAATTAAAGATATTTTGGTATTTTATTAAGTGTACCAATTTTTTCACACATTTGTTTATCATTTTCATTTAAATTGCAAATTATAATATTAAAATCCGTGCAACGCATGGATATATATCTAATCTAAATAATTGCCAAAAAATATATATATCATTGATTTTTTGAGAATATTTATCCCTTGCGTAATAAAAAGCCTCTTACATAATAAAAAAAAAAAGTCAGCTACAAATGGCCGACTACAAGGATTGAGAATTTTGTAACAAAATAGTAGGACATACATATATATTTCAGTAGAAAATTTAAATCTTAAAATTACGTGTTTCTTGAGAAAGAAAGGTCTTATAGTCGTCACATAAAAATTCAAATGGTGCTATACTTGTCATGAGTAAACAATTGTAATTAATTGGGTTGACACTCAATTGTAACCGTCGATGTCTCAGTAACTCTTCACAATATTCAGTACAGATGAATATGTTCCAAGAATTCCACATATGACTCCAAACGCAATAATTACGACGCTCAATGAAACCTGATGGGATCACAATAATGAAAATTAGAGTCAAGAAGGAACATATAAATATGATGGGGGATAATATTACTATATTAGTTGTTAGACAGCTGTGGCGGCCAGCACCGAAAACACTTTCGTTGAATAATATGGATAAATTATTTAGTATTAAATTCAATTTATACGAAACAAAAATATCTTTATTTTATATTTATTTACATATTTTTCAATGGATCATTTTTATATCAATAAATTGAATTTCAACACTTTTAAATTAATAAAAAAATTATTATTGTAAATATAGTTTTCATACAATTAATATATTTATAATAATTTGTAATTATATAAAAACAAACATTTATACACGTCCTAAAGTCCCAATTAAAAAAAAAAGTTCAGTGAAATAAAAATGCATGAAACAGAAAGAAAGAGATGGTATTATTATTATTATTATTATTATTATTATTATTATTATTATTATTATTATTATTATGGCACTGTGACTGCTTCACTAAAGGTTTGGCAAATGAATTCTGCATTCATACGACCATACCATCCCGACCAAAGGAATTAAAATGAAGGGACAAGGAACTCCCAAGTCACAATTACAATGAAAAATTTGTTGTATCACAAAACTGTTCAATGGCTCACCTAAACGTCTGAATTATTGAACAAACTCAAAAATGCCCACTGGTTCTCAATTTTTTTCCAATTACTTTTTGAGTAGGCGTGGTTTTGTAAATTGGTTGCTCAGGAGAGGGCCATTAGTTTCTTGTTTATATTTGGCTGAGCTTGTAACGATAATGAAAGAAATATCATCTTTTTCCAATTTAATCTATACATCTACTCATGTTTTCTATTTTCACTGAACATTTTTATTCCTTCACATACTTTATTATAATTTTAAAATCTACTTATTCTCCATAGTAAATGAAAAAAAAAATTGTTAACTTAATTTTAAAATAATTAATATTTAAATTAAAAAAATTATGTCAATAAATTTTATGATGATTTAGAATTAAGAATGATTATACTTAATTTGTAAATTATTAATATCAATAATTAATGTAAGAATGATTATACTTTTAATTTGTAAATTGTTAATATTAATATAAGAATTAAGAAGGTGATATACATTCATGGTAACCTCTAACGTTTGTTGCTGCTAAGGTTGACTTGTTATGTGGTAGAGAATTTGCAAGTTTTAACTTTTCTTGTCTTTGATGATAAAAAAAAATAAAAATTCTTACCTATTTAATATTTATATATATATGAATTCAAGACTTTACACATTTTATTTTAATTTTTTTATCACGAATTTATTTTACTTTTAACTTTATCCCAACTTAATAGAACTTTCTCGTTTAACTTTATTTTTAAAAATTATATTTTAATATTATAAACTAGAATATATAATATATGTTTACACTTGAATCCTTATAATCAGACATTTTTAATGTTTTATAGTATGCATTTTACACATAACACATATTTAATTTTTTTTCTTTATAATATCTAAAAGTTCAGCTTTATTTGATTGAATAATATGGATAAATTATTTAGTATTAAATTCAATTTATACGAAACAAAAATATCTTTATTTTATATTTATTTACATATTTTTCAATGGATCATTTTTATATCAATAAATTGAATTTCAACACTTTTAAATTAATAAAAGTTGCATTATTATACATGTAATTACAAGCATTCATGCATTTGTTACGAGTTACAACAAACATGAAATGTTTTAAATATTTATATTTTTTTAGTGTATAAGTATAACTCAGTTGATAAATATTGAAACTATTATTCAATAATAGCATTGAAGATATCATATGTATTCTCCATTTAAAATAATCTTATTTTCATAATTATTATGAGTGACAAAATTATCTCTCTAAGTACTGAAGTTAATTGTGTACTAATGATTTGAATTTCTGAACCACCAGTTAAGTTAAAATGTAAAACAATTTTACAACGGTTGATCTTTTGGGTTTTCTACAATTTTTTACCATACAAGTTTCATGGAATATCTGCGGCATTATACTAGTTAGAAAAATAAATAAATACAAGATCATCAGTATCATACCTGTGTATAAGTTGCTTTTTTCCCCACAATTTTCATAAAATATAAAGCTGGCAATATCACTGACTGAAAAAAAAATTGCATTCCCCAAATTAGCTACATTGCACACTACAACATTTTAACTATTTAGCAATATTTTCTTTCTTACATATATTAAAATATTATAATATATTGAATAAATAGATTATTTTATAATATCTTTTTAAAAAATATCATTATAAATAGAGTAATATTTTTTATTTTCATATTATTCTTTTTTATTGTTTTTAAAATTAAAATTTCATATCGAGTAAAAAATATATCACATAGGTTATTTTACAATATTTTTTTGAAAAAATGTTACTGTAATTGTTTCTAAAATCAAAGTCTCACATCGAGTAAAAAAAATATATTTTTCTTATCCCTGATTATTACCCATAATTAAAGTCTCACGTCGAATAGATGAATGATTCATAAAGAGTATATATAATCATATAGTTATATTTAAAATAAATAAATTTTGATATTTGATATATATTTAGTAGTGACTAATTAAAAATGCCTTTAATCTTCTTTTAAAGAACTTATAAGAGTTTAAGATGCATAATTGATAATAATATCTAAATTAAAATTAATTATTATTTTATAAAATTAACAAAAACTTAGTCATATCATTAAAATTTTACAAAAATACTATTTTATAACATTTAAAAAATATTGTCTAATTATATAAAAATGTTATTAATTTACTTTCATAACATATTATCAAATTATAAACCTTACTAAAACCTTATAAAGTTTCTTTTTGTGTTGTAGTGAAAATTTCATTGGAATTCCTTACAAGAAATTGAAACCATATGACGAGACAGATTAATTTATTAATGTTAAGTTGATGCCAACAAACATTAATTATAAAGCAAAAGAATCAATAGACAATATAATTATGCATAAGTATATTATTCCTCCAGACAAGTTTAGTCTCGTGCTGAAGTAAACAAATCTCGAAAATGCAGTAAATGCATGTGGTGATTGTGAGTGTCTGAGGTGTTTGCTTACCACAAGTATACTGACGAGAGAGCCAATTAGAGCCATCAAAAGCCCTGAAATTATAATAAAATGGTGTTAGAGTCATTTAGGTTCATATATTATACATTGATATAATATATAGAAATTAATGAATATATATAAATTTAGATTTGAAAAGAAATATTAATATAGTCTTTAGTGCTACTAATATATAAATAAATGAATTTTTCATATTAGTAGCATGTCATAGTTTAATTATAAAAATTATAAAAGAAAGTATTTAAATAATAAAATATTCAAATTTATATTAATATAACATATAGAAGATGATAAATATGTAAATAAATCATATCGATGTAGCATTTACTGCTATTAGTATAATATTTATATTCATATAAATATAAAAATAAAGGATTTTTTTATATATTTAGAATGACACTTTTGTATATTGATAATAATTAAGATCTGAAAAGTAATTTATAAAAAATATTTTAAAAATCTAATATATAAATAAACTACACTTTTGATGCATAATAATATAATTTTAAAATTATTTAAAATTTGTTATATGCATATTAACAAAAAGCTATAATAATTTCTTTAGTGTCCTTGACTAATTTAGCGATCACATTAAAATTGATACCATGGAGATAAAGTTTAAGACTCGCCAAAAAAAGGAATCAGAAAAGCAGCCAAAACCGTAGATACAACAAGTGCTGTTCTTAGAAGAATGAAACACCAATAAGTATTTGAAATTCTATTTGATAGCAATTCCTCGAGACTCCTTGCCAATGGATTCATCAACAAAGCATATGTGTTTATAGTTAAGGAAAAGCAAACTTCAAGAATGATTCCTGAATTTGATCAAGCAATCTCCAATTTTATGACATTGATTAAAAAGCTAATTAATGTGGCAAAAAGGATATTTGGTGAATGGATTAATTACCTGAAACAAGAACAAGGAACACAAAATTAAAAAAGAAATGTTCATTTCAATGAAACTAATATGAAATAGTGCTAAGAGACCCAGAAAATCTAATACTCACTGTTGTCCACAATGCAACTTTGGAAGCAACTGCACTTCGTGGCATATTTAATGTTATTTGAGACAAAGTGGCATCACCAAACATGAGAAATCCCATGATTGCAACACCTCCATATATTACAACAGACAATACAATACTGCATGTGAATAAATGAGTTGAGGAATCAGAGATTCAGATATAAAGAAAACAGATATGTTTTGCTTGCCAATTACAAAAAAAATAAAAAATAAAATAAAGGTAGTATCATACTCATATATACCATATTATTGCTGCTTTAGTAAATTGTGTTTTGTCAGCCATAGATTGGTAAATGTTCGGAAAAACTGAATGTCCTGCAAAGCAAAATCCATGGATACCAACAGCTAATGGAATGCCACTCCAATTGACAAATTGACTGGTGTGATGGAATCCAACACCGTCTATTGTCCCAACACATAACACACAGATAGTAATCAACAATGTTGCAAAAACCCCTCCAGCTGCATATCATAACATAAATTCCAATAAGGACATATTGTAAGTTGTAAAATTGAAAACAATAGAAAACTCTTTTAAAATTTGGAGTACCTGACAGTAAAGAGATTAAACGAAGATCCTTCAGCCAAACAGTTGGGATAATAATAAGTGCAGCTAAAATTCCAAACAAGTGCACAGAGTCTAACTGAAAACTGCCCAAATTTAAGGATGTTCCCGGAAATAGCCCGGTGAGGTTATCTCCTTCCAATGTGATGATTTCTATACAACAAGACTACACTCAGGAAAAAAATATCTTATAAATTAAGACAATGAAGATGAATAGAATTCAGGTGTTATTAAAGGAAATATAAGAAATGATTTCGGCACTTACATATAATTCAGTGTACAAAATGATCTGCAATAATTCCATAAGTACACATTGATTAGTAAATTCTCACTACTATGACATGAGTTTCAATTATACAACAAAGGATAAACCGTAAATTATCTTTAATTAGGAGAATTTTGTTAGGGCTGTAAGTTGAAACTGAAAAGATCAAAGATAAGAATGACCAAAACCAGATAAATACATGGTAAAGAATAGTTCTAGTATGACTTTTGAAGATTAACTAGCAGATCATTAGAGTAAATTCCAATAAACACTTATATTGCACAACAATTTTCAGTTAGTTCAAATAAAGATATAGATAAACTCACTGATGTAATAATTCGACCATATTTTCCAAATGCAGCTTCTCCCATATCTGGGTAGCTATTGATTCCTTCTCTACATTCAAAGCAGTTTCTCATAAGGGTGGCTGTATAGCAACAGATGACTCCAAAAAGAACCATCAGCACCATGCTCGCCCAACCAGCTTCTTTCAATGTATAAGGTGTAGACAAAATGCCAACTCCAACCATTACATTAATCGCTGCAAAGGTAGATATCATCACCTCATAATGACCAGCAGGA